TCAAGATTTTTTCCTAGCAATATAAATAAATTTTATGTTTCCTACAATAAAAAAGTAAAAGGAAAAAAAAACAAAGAAATGTGCTGTTAATGTTTTCATTACACTTCTTGCTCTACTCCACTCCTGGTGTGGCTTTAATGGTTATATGGAAATCCTGTAGTCCTCTAGTCCTGTAGTCATATTGCTTGCCGGTTTTATTGTAATGGTAATGGTTACGATGAAAGTATCACCTTTTAAAACATTTCATTGTTTCTCTTCGGTGTAAGTTAAACGCGGCAAACGTTCCAACTAATGCACTTCCCAGACACTTCTTAATATCAGAAATATGTAAATTATTTTATTTGACCCAATGCAAAGTGACTTAATAAAATTTTATAAGGATAATTTAAAGACACACAATGAAGTAGTTTTGCATCATTTAACAATAAAAATTCTTCAAAATTTAGTAACGAAAATATTTATCTAAATTCTAAAGACTTTAAAAAATGTTTAAATGAAGTATATATTTTAAATACAATTAAAAGTATTTCTTATTTATATGTAATAATATCTAGGAAATATGTTGGAAATTAGAAATATGCCAATCACCTTCCCTAAGTACATAGCATTAAATATAAAATTCCTGCAGTTTCCTCGATAAGAAACAAGGGAAATCATTGCATTTAAATCATTTTTATTATTAGAAGCAATGCAATTTCCTTGCAAGAAGTGCAATTCTGAGCAGAACGAGCTGAGGAAATGGCATTAGCAAGGAAGAAGCTATAAATGCTTTATGTAATTGGAAATGTTCCCTTCGAATTTATTTATAATCATTATCGTAAATTCCTTAATGCATTTGAGATAATGTTTTCTAGAATTTTATTCTATTGCTTCTGCATTTGCTTTAGCATTTTATCTAAGTATTAAAACAAAACACGTACCTTTGCACAGCTAAAGCCAGAGTCAACCATATGGACGCTGTGTGACACATAGCAGGCATTATCTGAAAAAACGAACAAAGAATATATTTTTAAAATAAGAACATTTAATGCATTAATTTAATAATAGAAACTTTAATTGAGATTTTTTGTTGTAACACAACAGTAGTTCTGTTATTCCACTATTATTATTATTATTATAAACTAATATATGACAATATCTATTATATTGAACCTTTCTTATTACAAATCTTGTTTAATAAAATACTTTATTCTCCACTTTTAATTTGATTTATGACTAAAAGCTTGTATCTATGTTTTTAAACATAATCACAAAAATATATAATTCCATTGACCATTAAAAGGTGCACAATAGATCAAACTGGTCGCAGTGCATATGAAACTTAGCCTAACCAAGAACCCCCAAATACCAATATATATAAAATTTAAACTAATTCGAGTGTTTAGCAACTATTTAAAGTAATGCAGTATAAACAAAGATATATTTTTCATTCATTAAAGAGTATCGATTAAGAAGTTATTTTGACCTACTACCTTGCTGGATTATATACCGGGTACTTCCGGATACTTTTTGAGCAGAAGGTATTATAGCCTTTACATGAAAAAGCATAATTGATTTTAAGAATTTCAACAATTTTAAGAAAATATATTCATGATAAGATGGAAGATATAATATTTACATCCTTCGCCATTTCATAAATGCAACTTTTTTTGGTTACCAGTTTTAATAAAGGTAGTTGGTTCTCCAACAAAATTATCTCTTATCTCTTAGCATCTCTTAGGTTGTGATTAATTGAACCATATTCAGATTGGAAACCAATGATTAATTTGAGTTCAAATCTATTTAGACCGAGATAGTTGTAATGTTTGTTATTGATCCGATTATACTATTAGGACTGCCTTAGATCTTTAAAGTCAGTCCAGATTTTCCTAAAATGCTTGTATTCCAATACCCCGCAAAATGGTTCGGATCTTACAATATTGAATCTTTTATTACTGGACATTCAAACGAGTGTTACTTTAATTGTAGTAGCCAACACAGATATAAGATTATTTTAGTTTTTCACCATTTCGGATTATATGGTTCCGGATAAAGATAGTTCAAAGTATTCGTTTAGGAATACATAAGAATGCTGGTATTTTTGTTTCGCTTAATGATGCATTCTATGTATATAACAGATTTCGTTAGAATAAACTTCGGTCTATAAAGCTATTAGAGAAATTTCAATTGAAATGTTTCTATTAAATTCTTATTGAAACGTCTATATTACATTTGTCTCTATGAAAGCCAGCACCACTTTGTCCCGTTCTGACAATTATGGGAAACGTTTTCTCTCTCTGAGTGTGGACAACACCAGTAATGCATAAGCATGGCAGTCCCTGTACTTTACGTAGTGGCTTTTGAGTATTCATTTATTTAGTTTTAGACCACCATTCCATGTAGTAAACTATTTATATTTTCTCTAGTTACTTACCATTATCTATTAAAGGTAAGCGTTGGCTTAATTTCTATATGTTCGCAGACAAGTGAGAGAAGAAAAGAGATTTTTTGTACTTTCCTGTATGTAACATATTTGTAGCTATTGAGATATGGTTAAACCAATCTAAAAACCACAACTTACACGTTCCAGCAAATATGTTCTATATGACTGTGTAAGTCATTGCTAAATTGTGTGTTAGTAAAAAGTTGGATAAAACATAAGTATAGTTGTATAGGTAATATATATAGGTAGTATAGGTAAGAAAAGTTTGAATTGATTAATGAATTGTTACGCTTCATTTTATGGTTCGTAATACTTTTCGCACTTAATATATAAGTAAAATATATAGTTTTTGAAGTTGATAAAAGTTTGTTTCAATAAATAATTAAAAAATTTAAATATTTTAATATTCTTTTCAAAATAAAACCAAAACTCATTATTAGCTTTTATTTCATTAAACGAAAATATTGCTTTTTAGAATGATATTGCGAATTTTCAACGAAAAATTAATTTGTAGAGCATGACAAGCAAATTATGTGCAAAATGAAATACGAGTACTTAAATGAAATTGATATTATATAAATATGTTAATGAGTTTATAAATGTGAGTGAAATTCGTTTTGAAAACCACAAAAAAGTAATACTGATTCGTGATATCACGTCAAAACCAACGTTATTAGCACACAATTCCATGATATTTTATTCCGTATTAATCACATTTTACATATAAAATTAATTATAAAATATTAAAACAATAAAATGAAATTAAGACAAAAAAATTATGATATATAACAGCTTTCTCAACTCAACCTTTTCCCCTCGAACAACGCCATGATTAATTAATACGCTTGCCATACTGAACCCATACTGAAGCCATACTGAAAGGGTTAAGTAAACAAGGACGCAATGACAGATTACACATTAAGGGATTGGAATACTCATATAAAAAATACTAAGTATTCTCGTCCTTTTTGTGGCCAGAAAATTATACAGATTAATTGTGAAAGGGTGCTTTAATGCAGTGTTTTTATGTTTTAGAAAAAAAGGCACAATTAATAAAAATGGAATTGAAACGTAAATTGCAAAAGAAAAAATCGCTTGTAAATGTCAAAAAACACATTTCGAAAGTTTAAATGCTTCAAAGTTGTTCAGTTCACAATTTCAGGACATTAATATCGGGAGCAAGAGGGGATTTAGTAAAGGATTTTATGTGGAACGCAAAGATTGGACAGCTATTTCATATTCAACTCATTAAATAAATTTTAATTACGACTATTAAAATTTGCCGTCTGCTGTAGTTAGTAAATGTCATTAACTTATACTTTTGCAATATAAAAGAAAAAGATACTTTTATTAATAAAACATTTAATTTTGAATAATTTTGATAAAAACAAATATTTACTAAATGTTGCATATTAATCGAAAAGTAAAACAAAGTTTAGTTGTATTACAAAAATCAAGCAACGCGATGGGGTCCATATTTAGGTGCTTTTCTAAGTTGTCTCCAATAATCTAACCAACAAAAATGAAAAAAAAATATTTCGTCAAAAGTCCTCAATTCCATAAAATAATAAAGAGAACTTTGTTACTTTTTTGTTTCGGGATTCTCTAGTACGGTAATAACACGCCGATATTACAGAACGCTGAACGTTTGCGTTATGTCTGCTGTATTTATCTATATACCTATTCTCTCTTAACTAATGCAATTTATGCAACATTTAATTATATTAAACAAATTTATAAAAATAATTTGATGACGCTTTTAATAGTGGTCATTGATCACATTTCTGTACGCAACAAATCTCGTTCCTTCTAGGAACCGTTTAAGGTTTATGTATATAAATTGATGGAGTGGGGATATCAATTCGAATTGCAAATTATAATTAGAAAATTGTGATTATTGGTCTGTATATTTATATATATATTTTCTGCTCTTCTTCATCTTTTTTGAATAATATATTTTTCTCCTTTGATATTTATTTTATAATTTGTGAATCGATAATAATCGATTGGGGCTAGCAATTGGAAGTTCAAGTTACATTTGTATTATAATTATCGTAGGCTTGCGATATGGAATATTTAGCGGGTATTTGATAAATACCCGTCTTCTTATACTTCTTATTCTTACACTTATTCCCTAATCTCCTTCTTCTTATACTCTTCTAGGGTTATAGCTAAGTTATGCGTGAATAAAACTTTATCTTACATATGTACTAAGTTATGTCAAAACAAATGGTATTACCACCAACGCGTTCTGCATCACACACAATACACAAATACAGCCACATTTTTGTAAAATATGGTTAAATGCTTATGTAAAATATCGTCTAAAATTTCTTTTGGTATTTTTTCGATGCTAACTATTCCACCTAACTTAATAATATTATTAAACCAAATAGTAAATTTTTTTATATTTGTAAAAGCTAAATGAATTAATATTCAACTCTAATGGGAACTATATGTTTGAGGAAAAGAAGACCCGAAGAGGAAAAGAAGACCTGAAGAATGTGCTGAAAAAGAATCATGGGCTCATGAAAAGAATAGATGAATAGAAAAACAATAATCAACAAATAATTACAACTGACAAGACGTATAAGGTTACTATTCAATAAAGAAGTGGAACGGGGTGTGTCACTGTAAAGTTAGTAAGTCAAAAAAATTGGTTTCAAAGTCGCGCTGCTGCTATATACCTTATACGATAATACTAATTATAATATTACATATGCTAACATACACTACCATAACACCTATTGTGAGTAATATTGATTGGACAGTAAAGTACATGAGATTTTATTAATTTTTAGTTTTTATATAGAAACCATTGTAAAATAATTTCTCTTAAAAACCACTAGCTGAATATATACTTTTAATTTAAATGAAATGACATAAAACTGATAAAATATATATGCATCTCAATTCTATCATTTATTTTTTATATAACAAATATTCACATTACTTATTCAAATACTTTATTTAAATCAAACTCAATTCTAAAAGTTTGAAAACATAAAAAGATACAAAATATATTTTTTATGTGAAAAAGAAACAGAACTATTATATTTCATAAAAACTTTAATGATATTAGTTTCAACATTATTTTGTATATGTCTTTTATATAACAGAAAAGCAATTCGTTCTGAAATCTATGATATTTTCAATTTTCACAGCATGCAGATTCGACCCACATTGGAAGGTCCTTAACAGCATTGAAATTATTGAAACTGTCTGAAATGTGATTGTCATTTCAATTTTCGGAGCAAAGTGAAGAAAACAAAGGTTTAACAGAAAATTTGAAATGAAGTGAAAAATCTGCCAAAGCAGAAGAGAACTTTTATTTTTTAAGGCAAAAATGATTATTAATCAAATGGCATCGCAGTGTTCTTAAAAAGGGTTAAGTGAGAAAGGACGTGATGGCTGAATGCATTTGAAAAGGTGAAAAGTAACATATTAACATTGTTTTCATTTTCATTCTTAAAAAATTGATAAATGAAAACTTTAATATTTAGATTTTTCTAATAAAAGAGAAAGTTTTTCAGAAAAAAGAAAATCAAAATATAACCAATCACATTGTGTTGACAATACGTATTCTCACGAAATAAGTCATAACATTTATTAGCAAAATAAATAAATTTACACCATATAATACTACATTTGACAGTATTTGTATTCAAAACCTCAATCTGGTTTTCAATGAACCGAATGCTGTTTGAAATCTTAAGCTAAATGCTTCCTTTGGTTCATCATTAGCCATCATCATCCTCAATCAATAGCATTAATAAGCTCAAGTTACCCTTAGAGAATTTCAACAATAATAGCCGAAAAGTTTTCAAAAATATCGTCGAAGTATTGGTCTGCAATAGTGGGAAGGAGAAGTAGAATGCCTACACACTAACCACAATCTGGCGCTCAGGGAAGTGTGTGCCCAAATCGCACAGACTAAACCACTCTCACTCATTCCTAGAAACCCTTGTCCTACCCCGGGATTACGTTAGATTTACTTCTAGGTAGGGTCCCTATTAATCATTTAAGACTTTCATCGGTGTGACCAGCGTTCAGGCTACGCTATTACTATATTTATATTTTTAAGTATATATGATGTAGTATTTATAATATTAGATCAAAATAATAGTGACATATAAGATTATAAAGTAACTATTATACGTTATTATACATAATGAGCCTAAATCAGTTTACAATGACCAGTTATCTTAAATCAATTTAATTTAATATTATTCATTTATATTTCACTAAATTCGTAATATTGTCTTTCTAATATTATTAATAATAAGCCAAAGCTAGTGATACGTAAAAGTTCAAGATTTTCTAAATATTTTGTAACATAATACTTTTACTTAAAATTTTTTCTTTAGGCTACTCTGGTCTTATTATTAGGATGCAAATAAAACTCAATTTATTTCATTTTTCACCCGACGTTTCGTTGGTTATTTTCCAACATCTTCAGGGGTATCTAAAATATTTTTTATTTAATAATTATGATTTCAAAACACAATGTGAAATTATATCTATAATATAATTTGTGATATTGTATAAACAGAGAAACATGTACACAAAATAACTAACAACAACAATAATAACAAAACAATCAAAAGTAATAATTATCCATTCAGGATTTTAGAATTGTTAAATAATAATAATTACCAATAGTTAGAATTGAAATTAAGTTAAATCACTTTTTGTAAATAAAAAATTAAAAGTTAGGAATAAATATTAAAAGTTTTATAAAATTATAGAATTATAGTCAACTGCTTCAAGTTACCGCCACTTTCGACTTTTACACTAAATTCAAATAATACAAAGTATAAAAACGTTTTCTTCTGTCATCCTAATCTAGCAATGGAGCATAGAGCCTCGATCATTCTCTCATAGCAAACACTATTACGCGCCTGATCCACTGCTGATGTCATTATAGGAGTAATTTTCAGCGTCCATTTCTAATTGTATTAATCTTCTCCATGTTCTTGCTGTGCGTGTGTGTGGAACTGCTCCAAGAGGTAATAGCTTAACTGCGAGAAATTCTCCTGCTTTAGCAACTAGCACAAGGATTTTGGAGGTACGATGAATTAATCAAATATCGTTAAAATATATCGAACTCAAAGACCAAATAAAACGATTAAATAATTTTGATCATTTTTTAGTAAACTCTTGTCCTAAGTCGTATTAATAGAACATAACTTCTAATAGAAACTATTTCTAATATATAAAATTAGGAAATCTCACATCGACACATTTCGCTTACATTTTTGTAATAATAATTCAATTTATTTCCGAAACATGGTCGCTAATGAGGGCCTCAACTCAGAATTTACAATCCTTTGTCAATAGAAGCCTGCGGCGTATTCTGAACACATGGTGGCAAAAGTCTCCAACGAAGAGCTATAACAGAGCACCAAACAAAAGCCAATAAAGAAAGAAATTTAGAGATGCAAATATGGTTGGCTCGGCCACACACTTAGAAAGCCGACAGATGCAATTGCCCACGCAGCCATGGAATGGAACCCGCAAGGAGTAAGGAGACGAGGTCATTCCAAAACCACCTGGCGAAGATTAGAAATCTTTTAACCAGCTACGTTTTACTGCCAGAAACAGAGACAAATAGAGGAAGTTTATAAATATTATTTGTGCATAGACTTAGTTCTAATTTTTAAATTTTAATTTTTATAATAAATAATATGTCTTAATAATAATAATAATAATTCAATTTATCAATTGATTTTTTCAAGAACCACACATTTAACCACACATTCAGTGAGATACTTACCTCATTAAAAATACTGTAAGCCAAGCACATGGATACCGGATGTAGAGGTTTATAGTGATTACCAAAAGTGTACATATACCAAAGGCCAGGTGCCGGAAAAATAACAGTCAGCATATCACATATTGCCATACCTGCGATGAAATAGTGCACAAAAAAAGAAATTCTTATAATGAAAATGTTAAAATAAATTAAACTCAAAAACTTTAAAAACACGTTCATTGCTGCAAAAGTTCACTAATGTAATTTAATTTCGAAGATAAAAAATAATCATTAAAACAGACATTACACAAAGGGTTAAGGTTTCGCCAACGTTCGGCTCGCGCCCTGTGGACCGAGCGGCACATGATGGTGGCTTCAATGTTGGTAATTTACTGTTTATTTTTACGATTATAAGCATTTACATTATTATTATTATTACCAGTGATAATACTGTTATTATTATTATTATTATGATTGCTGCATCATCATTCAGGACTCAGGACTTAATGCTTTACGGCTACTGACAGAGCCGCACAATTTATTGTGTATCCTTTTTTATGTGTATATGTTGAGCGGTAATTAATGTTAGCGTTAAATAATTTTAAAATGTGTAATATGAGCACCACGAAGAGCGTTTGATGGCTCATAGTAACTGGCTCAATAATTGAGTTACAGCTTCAATTTCATTTTAGTTGTGGACTGGATGTCACAGTTACACACTAATTTACTAAATATGTCATTAAGTATCTCGAATTTCACCCAACTTTACACGCTGCTCTGCTTAATAAGTGGAAAATTGCTTCCTTTTAATGAGCACTAAATACAAAATATAATGTGAGGGGCGTTGAAATTTGAACGAACATTAGCAGATGCCATGGACGCTTACAAAGCACTTAAAATTCTAATTTTGAATTACTTTTCCTACTTAAAGTATTTTTTAATTATTTTAGTAACAGTAATCTCAAAAGTATATTTAAGTGGTTCATTAAAAAATTATATGAAATATAACCGATATTTAAGCACATTTTTAATTACTTTCCTTGAATAAAAATATGATATACTTTCCACAAATTTCTCTGAGGATTATAATATATTTAATAATAAAATTTTAATTTTTAAATATTTTCATGCAAATATTCTGTTGCAATCATATATGTGTTTCATTCTAATCATTTTACGATAATACCTGGTACATGCCATAAAAAATTGTTACCATCCATTGTGTTGCTGGTACCGTTATGGCACACACAGAGTGCTAACAAATAACACTTTGTAAGGATTTAAATATACATAGTACACGCGCAGACATACACTTAATGGAATAGTGACAGCGATTAGATTGTATTGATTCTAGTAGCAGCGCAACTGGATTGTGGCAAAGTGCAATTGTCTGCAGTGAAGCATGTGTCCATAGAACTGCATAAGCAATCGAGATACGCTGTATATCAAGAATATAAAAGACACTTAACTTGTTGGATAGTCGACACACAACGTAGTAGGTTTCAATGCTCGTATGACGACAAAATCAAATTTACTTTGTGTCACTAGTGTATAGTATATGAATGGTTGGTAAATGTGCATGTGAGCTGGGTAAGAGTACTACACACAGAGTATACAGTAGGGAGAACTTGAGTTTTGATATGCAAACATAATGCAGTAATGTCGCATTATGTTAACGACAAAGCATTTCCTTAAATTACTATTATAAAGTAGTTGCATAGTATAGGAGTGCTCTGTGCAAATGCTTGCCTTTATATGTTATTAAATTCAATATGCTGTTTACTACGTATATACCACTTACCCATTAATACAAAGTTTGTCGGCGTTGCCATGCTCTTCTTGCTCAGTACAAGTACAATCAAAGAATTTGCAACTACTGTTATCACAAGCAGAAATGGCATACAATATCCGTATAGTGGTTCTACATAGTCCACTGGTGTGTCGCAAGTTAAATTCCAGTAGCTCATATTTGTATTTAAGTCAAACATCTGACACCGTTCACTGAAGTTATTATACTGCTGGTAAGAATAATCTGTGCCATTGTAATCTAAAAACATTTGTGAATTATTTGCTGTGCTATTGAAGACACTGCCAACGGCAGTAGCGTCGGATCTTGCTGTCATAACACCACCACCACCACCGCCACCAGCCCCACTGTCTACATTCCAATATGACAAGCCGGGTGCAGATAAATCGTATGTAAAGGCGGTATTGTTACTCAAGCTTGGTGCCATTACTGCAGCAGCCGTTTCCGTTACTGTGCTTGGAATTTCCGGTAAAAGTCTTTGATCGCCGGTAATATCCATTTCTGTATTGATTTTTGTGTTTAAGCAATAGTTTTCTGATGCTTATTTAAATTTTTTGAATTAACAAGTTTTGTGGGAGAGTTATTTCAAACAGAAATACTGCTTTACACATTTTGTATTGTTTCTGTTGGACGTTTATTGGCACAAATTTATAAACGACATTTTTATATATCTAAAGCAGTCAATAGTGCGTTTCTCACATGAATTCAAATTCCTGCCACAGTAATTTTTAGTTGTATTCAATTTGAAACTGAAAGAAAAAAAATCAAAGTTTATTTAAATTTAATTTATTAGAAAATTATAAATTTTTTATTATTTGAATTTTTTCATTTGGCAAATTTATTTAAAAGTTTTTCTTCTCAAAATTGCTTTCTAACTAATGACTTTTAAAGGGAATAAATGGAGACAAATAAAAAAGCACTAAGAACAATACCATTTGCTTTATAATACTTTTTAATTTATTTCTTAAAAATACGATATTCGATTAAACTGAGAACAAAACAATTTTCTTCTAAATGTATTCCCCGCAATGAGTTTTTTATAGCGCCATAAGACTATGAAAGAACACTTAAACTATTAAGAAAATTAAAAATCATTTTCTGCATTTGCTGCAAAATTTGGCTTGAAGTGTTCTCGAACATGCACGACGGAGAGCAAATGGTGCTTGTAGCATTAGCGACAGTGAATTTATTTCACAAGGTGCAACCACGCATTCTTCATGGCTTTAATGGCGCATCATTCTTATGGTACTTCCTCTGAATTCGCTAGCTCCAGTGTTAGTTTTCTATGCTCCTCGTATACACTCTGCTATTTACCGCCTCAGAGCTTCAATTTGTTTATTATTCAAACGACCGAGTTAAGCTTATTTGCACTCTATTTATGCCAACTCGTGAGGATGCTTTCATTACACCCAATGGAGAAACGTTTTAATACCTTGCCAACTTTACATTCGGTCTTTTATTGTGCTTTCCTAAAGTGCATATTTACTTTTACGTTGTGTATACATGAATAAGTACATATAAATTATATGTATATATTATGTCATTGTCATTGACAAGAATTAAACGATATAAAATTTTAAATTAGTTTTTTGGAATCTGGATTATCAAATTTTATTTTCTTTTTAACTATAAGATACCCAGCTAGAAGATCAGGAAATCAGGAAACTAGTCGCCCAAATATGCTCCAACAATTTAAGTAATTTTTAAACAACTTTCTAAAGTTTTAACAACAATAATTTTTGCAGATGCAATATATTTCAATCATAATCAAAACATTAAATTAAAATTTTATTAACTTAAAATTAATAGACAATAAATTAGGTGAGGTTAGGTTCAGAGGCCAACATATTCACTTAGAGACATCTATTGCCAGTTGTGATACTCTTAAAGTCGTTATGGGAAGGCAACTTACATTCTTTGTTGTTTCTATTATAACTGCATGTGCAATCCTTGTTAAACTATTTGCTTTTCAAGCTGAAGTTCAGGATTTTTAATAGGTCTACCAAAGTTGTGAGAATCTTTTAGACATGAAACTCACTTCATCCATATACACTTTTTCAAGATTTTAAGTGATTTAAGTGACTTGAAGTCACTTTAATCACTTTAATCACTTTAATCCGATTTTATAAATCTGCAATTATTTTAAATATTATTTTTTCAGCGATTTTCAAATTTAAATAAAACTGCCGTACTCAGCAAATTAACCTGTAATTTATTTGGATTAAAATCAAACCCTAATAAATATAAAACCAAATTAAAAAATATTACAAAATTATGCGTTAAATAGGAAATAGTTGTTTTAAAATTACATTCAAATCACTTTTCACATCCTTAATAAATAAATGGCTGGCAGGAAGCATTAAACTGCAGCACTTAAAATGTGAAATGCACTTCGGTGCGCACGTCACCTAAATAAAGTGGATCACGTGAAACGCATTGAGGCAAAACATTGATTTCATGACGTTATGTGCAACAATAAAACACTAAACTAACAAAAACTAAACAACAAAACAACAAAAACAAGTAAACAAACACACAACAAGTAAACCCAAAAAAGTTGCTAAAATGCATGTCATGCGATTTTGGTTGAGTGCCAGTCTTCAAACATTGCAATTGCACTTACAGCCAAAGCTTTTGGTGTTCGCTTGCGTATGAGTAACTTTATTTCGCTCAACTGCAGGCTGCAGCAAATGCATTACTGCATCAATGAGGCGTGCGAAAACTTGATTAAAATAATTTCGTGGTTTCTATTTATTTTTATATATAATGGCGTATACTGTGGTTTAGTATAAAGTAAGCAAACAATTAAGTTTAAATTTAAAATAGATAAAGTGTTCTTTGAAATTGAATTATCAAAATTAACGTAATTCAATATTAGCATTCAGGTTTACTAGTAATTTATGGAATTATATTGAGTTATTACATATATCAAATGTGTGCTTTACAAATTAGCTGATTCTTATGCAATTAAAATATATTAATTAATTCCGTAACAACATTTAAGTGCTCAGCGCCACTTTTGTCATAAGGGAAATTAGTTTAAAATTACGGAAATTATATTTTGAGATGATATCAGATTGAAAATTGATACTATTACACCATAAGTTATTACTGCTTTATACTACTTTTACTTATTACTTTTAATATTTATTTGTGAGTTAACATTAAAATTAATTTTAAAGTTAACTAAGAACAAGAAGCTGAACTGCTAGGTCCTTTGCCCTGCTACTTTTATTATATTTGCAAATCGGCAATATACGAAAAAATATAGATAAGTTCGTGAATACAGATTGAGTACCCTACAAACACTCGCATTATTTACTTATTTATACATTTGTAGATATGTATTCCTATTTATAGATATGTATTCTTCCAAACGTCCTATATATACTTCTTATTTCTTTATTCAAATCAATTATTTTTATTTCCATTCTATTTAATCAGAATTACATGTGTCATTCATTCTTTTCAGGGTTGTAGACACCTCCCCATTTGAGATTGAATCTAAAATGCGATGATTCTAAGGTCTAAATCGGTCAATAGGATTTCTAGTACACCTTGATCTGTTATATGGAACAACTGCCTCATTGCATCTCTCAGCTTGAGGTGGTGCAATCTCAGATACTTCGTTTAATGATTGAGTTGAAGTCGCAACTATGTTTATGTTATGGTAGTTACTTCGACAACATCCTTAGGTGTTGTTATGTAGAGTCCAAATGCATCAACTAAACACTTTTCGTCGACGATAACTTCGAAAGTACGTAAATTTTGTCTTCTTCAATTAAAATACAATGCACTGTGGAACACTTCTCTGCAAATCTTCTCGCAAATATCATTCATAATCGTTGATATGCATTAATTTAAACATGATATTATTATTCTTCGTAACATCTTTGATCCTCTACGAGTTGGCGACGACTACCAGGACATTGATATAATTCAGCGAATTAACGTCCAGCGGCTTCGCTACCTTAGTCATGTCGTGAGAATGGATGAAGATATTCCAACCAAAAAGGTATTTGAAGCAGTAGTTGGTGATAAAAGACGTAGAGGTGGATCGTGTCTTCGGTGGAGTGTTCAAGTTAAGGAAGCGCTAACTGGACTTGATGTACGAAACTGGATAAGGCGCGCAGTGACGTCTGTGGAGACATGTTGCACCAGGCCGACTCTCGATAACGGATTGTTATGATCAAATAAGTAAGAAAGAAGTATATATGTTAACAAAAAAAACATTAATTCACAGTTCACTTTATTTAAAATTTTTTACATTTAATTTTGAAAAAAAAAGACAATTTTAAAATTTACATCATATTATTGACCTCAACATTTTCAACCTTAACAGCATATTTTTGAAACAAATAAAATTATGAATCATAAGAGAAAATATTCAAATTTAATATCAGATACAAATCGATTATGACTCAAACTACAATATTTCATTTTTTGCACATTTACTTTGCCAATAACTATTATCTGTTTTTATTTGTTTTTCAATAATATTTCCAATTTATCGCTGTCAACTACACACCGTAAAATAAACTATAAGATTATAGTATAAAAATTCAATTAATATGTAAAATAGCCAAAAATATTTTGATATTTTATAGACAAAATGAAAATGTAAATAATTTTAGCATAAAATTTACATCACATCAATAGTTGCTTTCCACCGTAATATATGC